CCTCTGCCCCCCGCCCCGCCCCTCCTGACCACCTGCTCTGGTCTCAGGTCCTGGGGGAGACCGAGCGCTTCCTGAGCCAGGTGCTGGGCCGGGTGCAGCGGCTGCTGCCGCCCTGGCAGGTGCAGGTCCGCAAGATGAAGGCCGTGTACCTGGCCCTCAACCAGTGCAGCGTGAGCGCCACGCACAAGTGCCTCATCGCGGAGGCCTGGTGCGCCACGCGCGACTTGCCCACCCTGCAGCAGGCGCTGCAGGACAGCTCGGTGAGCCTGGTGGGGGCTCCGGCCCTCCCCTGCTACCTGTTTCTGCCTCACGACACACTGCATTTCCAGCGCCATGCTTTTGCCAGGGCCCCCCTTCCTCCCCCGAGTCCGCCTTGATGGCCCTGGGTGGGCTGTGGCCCCCTGGTGGCTGCACTGGGTGTTAAGGGAGAAACCAGGTTCAAAACCAGGCTCCACAGGCACCGGCCCTATGATGTTGGCCTAACGGGAGGGGAGCCGCAGGCTCATCTGTGAAACGGTGCCACGACCGTGCCTCCAGGGATCGCTGTAGTGTGAACACACCACAGGCTGCCGGTGCTTAGTAGGTGCCACAGGTGGCAAGGGCGCTCCCTCTCCCAGGCCACCTGGATGAGCAGTAGCATACTTCTATTTCCTAAGCAGCTGTGGTCCAGCCGATCTCTGGCTCTCCCTAGATCCCCTGGAATGGGGGCAGGTGGGGCTGGTTTTCCTACATTACAGAGGGGCGGGGCTGCCCCAGGTGTCCCCACACCTGCCCAGCAAGCCCCCTCCATGCTCCACATCTCGATCTGGGCCTGGCCAGGGGGCCTGAGTGTCCCCGGAGGCCCTGCCATCAGTCTCGTCTGTCTGCCTGCCTGACCCCCAGAGCGAGGCGGGTGTGAGCGCCGTGGTTCACCGCATCCCCTGCCGAGACATGCCCCCCACCCTCATCCGCACCACCCGCTTCACGGCCAGCTTCCAGGGCATCGTGGACGCCTATGGCGTGGGCCGCTACCAGGAGGTCAACCCCGGTGAGAGCCGTGGAGCCCCACAGCCCTGCCTTTGGTGGGAGCCTGGGACGGTGGTGTCCACAGTGGGCCTGTCCCACCCATGGAGCCGAGAGGCACGCTCCATTAGCTGCTGTCGCTCCATGCTCTCGGGGCCCAGTGGGAGGCTTCGTGTTTATCCCAGCAACCCCCTTTGTGACGCTTACAAGGGAGCCGGCACGGGGGTGCACAAGGATCAGCGGCTCTGCAGTAGGAATGGCTCGGGTTCAAGGTCCAACTCGCTCACCTCAATAAGTTACTTAGCTTCTCCAAGTCTGTTTTCTCACCTGTGAAATGGGACTCACAGTGCAGACTCCGAGCAGCATCGGGAAGGCCAACAATTGTTGGAGGCTGCAAACGGCAGGCCACGGGCCACCCTCTTTTGAAGTTTAAGTTGGGTGGTGTCCCAGAGCCTGGGTTCGGGGCCACCTCGGGGCGCCCGGCTGACCGCATGGCCCTGTTCCCGCAGCACCCTACACTATCATCACCTTCCCCTTCCTTTTCGCCGTGATGTTCGGTGATGTGGGCCACGGGCTGCTCATGTTCCTCTTCGCCCTGGCCATGGTGCTGGCCGAGGACCGGCCGTCTGTGAAGAAGGCGCAGAACGAGGTGAGGCGTGTGGAGGCCTGGCGGGCGGGGTGCGGTGGGCCCGGGCAGCCCCTCATGGCCGCCGCCCCCAGATCTGGCAGACCTTCTTCGGTGGCCGCTACCTGCTCCTGCTCATGGGCCTGTTCTCCGTCTACACCGGCTTCATCTACAACGAGTGCTTCAGCCGTGCCACCGTTATCTTCCCCTCGGGCTGGAGCGTGGCCGCCATGGCCAACCAGTCTGGCTGGAGGTAAAGCCTGCCTGCCTGCCCCACTGCCCCCCTGGGAACCTACCGCCTCGGGTGCCTGCCGCCCTGAACACCCTGCCTGCTGCTGCCACAGTGATGCGTTCCTGGCCGAGCACCCGCTGCTCACCCTGGACCCCAACGTCACCGGCGTCTTCCTGGGACCCTACCCTTTCGGCATCGACCCTGTGAGTCCCGGCCGCTGGCCATGGGTGCTGCAGGCAAGCGGGAGGGCAGCCTGGTTTTGGTGTAGGAGGCGTCGGCCCCAGACAGGCCAGGGGCCTCTTCACTTCACAAAGTCAAGATCCACTTCACAAAGTCAAGAGGCATGTCGTAGTGACCGCAGCACTTGGTCACTGCGGAGCCGGCTGTCTGTGCTCTTAACCACTCCTGTCTGCTGCCCCTTGCGAGGGCAGGTGACGGATTGTGCTGTGGCCCTGAAGGAGGCCGGTGGGTGAGAGTTGTGTGGGCGAGGACGCCCCTGCATGACACCTGCTCCTCCTGCCACCCAGGTCTGGAGCCTGGCTGTCAACCACCTGAGCTTCCTCAACTCCTTCAAGATGAAGATGTCCGTCATCCTGGGGGTCACCCACATGGCCTTCGGGGTGGTCCTGGGAATCTTCAACCACGTGTGAGGGCCCAGGCTCCGGGGGGTGCAGGGCCCGGCAGGGCCAGGGCGGTGTGGTGACCCGGCCCCCGTCCTGCCCCAGGCACTTTGGCCAGCTGCACCGGCTGCCGCTGGAGACCCTGCCTGAGCTGGTCTTCCTGCTGGGCCTGTTCGGCTACCTGGTCTTCCTGGTTGTCTACAAGTGGCTGCGAGTCTCGGCCGCCAGCGCCGCCTCGGCCCCCAGCATCCTCATCCACTTCATCAACATGTTCCTGTTCTCCCGCAGCCCCACCAACCGGCCACTCTTCCCTGGGCAGGTGGGCTGGGTGTGGGGATGGGCTCACACCCCACTAGGGGCCCCGTGGCCACTGGGCCACTCAGAACTGCAGGATCCTTATCTGAGAAACAGGGATGCGGGCCTGTGACTGAGACAGGGCGGTCCAGGGAGTGAGGCTCCCAGAGGGGGCGGTGCACAGTGGGTGCCGGGAGCCCGTGGCCCTCTCTCTCTGAGGGTTCCTTACGGAGCAATGTCCCCACTTAGTGAGGGGCTGTGGGGGAGGAGCAGATGGCGGGCTCCCTGGCTCCCCCTGAGTCGTGTGGCCCAAACTGGGTGTGCGGGTGGCCGGGGCCCCCTGACTCAAGCCCCCTCGCCTGCAGGAGGTGGTGCAGTCCACACTGGTGGTCCTGGCCCTGGCCATGGTGCCCATCCTGCTGCTCGGCACGCCGTTGTTCCTGAGCCGGCAGCACCGCCGTCACCGGAGGAGACGCGCCGACCAACAGCCGGTGGGGGGCGTGCAGTGGGAGGGCTGCTGGGGAGGGGGGGCTGCTGCCAGGCTGAGACACTCCCCTCGCTGCTGCCTCGCGGGCTCCCAGAGTGGCAGCGCACAGTCAGCGCGTGGCAGTGTGGCCCCGTCGGGGGCTGGGGCCTGCTGATGCTGCTTGTCTCCCCCCTGTACCAGGATGAGACCAAGACCGGGCTTCTGGACTCGCCCGACGCTGGCTGGGGCTCTGACGAGGAGAAGGCGGGGTGCCCAGGGGACCAGGAGAAGGCCGAGGTGGGTGTGGTGCCTTCCTGATTTGGGGCTGGCTGCAGGCCCGGCTCACCTCTTACTGAGGCCCGCACCCCCTTCCACCCCCCGCAGTTTGTCCTCTCCGACGTGCTCATGCACCAGGCCATCCACACCATCGAGTTCTGCCTGGGCTGCATCTCCAACACGGCCTCCTACCTGCGCCTCTGGGCCCTCAGCCTGGCCCACGCCCGTGAGTGACCCGATGGTTGAGTCCTGGCTTCATCTCACGCACACAGCTGCTGGCTGCGTGGCCTGGGCGGGTCACTTCTCTGGGTCTCAGGATCCTCCTCTCTAAAGTGGGGACACCGAGGGAGGACCCCTGCTGGCCCCACAGGACGGGAGGCTTCAGGCTGCCGAGGGGCTGGGTGGGCACCCGTGGCCCCTGGGCTCAGCTGCCCTTTCCTTCACCCACAGAGCTGTCGGAGGTCCTGTGGGCCATGGTGCTGAATAACGGCCTGAGGATGAGCCGAGAGATAGGCGTGGCAGCCGTGGTGCTGGTCCCCATCTTTGCGGCCTTCGCCGTGTTGACTGTGGCCATCCTGCTGGTGATGGAGGGGCTCTCGGCCTTCTTACACGCGCTGCGGCTGCACTGGTGAGCGGCCCGCTGGCTGGCCCGGGCAGCACGGGCCTGGAGCGGAGGGCCTTCCCCTCACCTCTGCTTTCTCACCCCAGGGTGGAGTTCCAGAACAAGTTCTACTCGGGCACGGGCTACAAGCTGAGCCCCTTCACCTTCAACGTGGAGGATGAATAGCACCTACCTGTGGCCATACCCACGACCCCCGGCCCTTCCCTTGCTGAGGCTGAAAAGGAATAAAAAGGGAGAAGGCCTAGGACTGTGACTCGGTCCTGTCTGGAGCGCCAGGGACTGGGGAGGCTGGTGTGGCAGAGCCTGGGCCGATACCAGGAGGGGCAAGGCCCTGGGTCGTGGGCGTGGGCTAGTCCAGCCTGAGCCTCTTGGTCTCGTGGACGCCATGCCAGTCTATACCTGTCTCTTGTACCCTCCTCTGCAGCTGAGGTTGGTGGGGGGTGGGAGCAGGGGGCACTGGTCTAGGATCTGGGGCCTCGAAAAGTCAGGGAGAAGACCTATGAGCACATCTGCAAAAACTCCAGATTCTCGGAGTAAAGGACCAAGGTGGGATGTTTCTCGAACACTAGCTCGGAATGAGTGTCTTCCCAGGCTGGGCCGGGGTCCGTGAGCTTCCTGTCCGTGAGGGAGTGCAAACTGGCCGAGAGAACGTCTCTCCTGGGTACGGAGGGCGCTGCCAGTGTTTCTGTGCCCTCATGCAGAGAACAGCCCGGGATACCGGAGCCTGACCCAACACTCTGCACGGGGGAGCTGTGGTGTCACACACGCCCAAGGCCACCGTCCTGCAGAGAAGGGCAGAGGCTGTCCAGGACAGCCCCGGGGGTCAGGAAGAGGGCTGAGCCAGACCCCAAGCCCCATGTCCCCATCATGAGAGGCCGCAGCCTTTCCTGTGTCCCTGGGCTGCAGCCCTGCTCCCCTGAGGCCGTCCTTCAGCTGGTGGGAGGGGGCTGGCATCCTGCAGCTCTTTCAGGCCTGGGTCCCTCCACTGGCTGGGAGGCAGAGCCAGTGCTGCTCAGAGGCCTTGCTTTCTCCAGCCAAGGAGCTGCAAAGCGTTTCTTCCAGCCGGACACACCAGGGACAAAGGCTGCTTTGAGGCCAGAGATGCCCTGGGCATAGCAGGCTGGGTGGCCTGCCCCCATCGCTGTGGCTCTCATCTGGCCAGTTGCTGGGAGGAGCCTGTCCCTTGGGTCAGGGGCTGCCCTGCTCTGGGCCCCCAGATGCTAGGCTCGGGTACAAGGGGCTGCATGGCAATCCCACATGCCTGGCAGACATGGCTCCGAGAAATGATAGCAGGGCCCGGTGAGGAGTAGAGGAAGCTGTGCGTGAGACTCGGCAGGACTGTGGATGGGTCTGGACTGAGCCGAGGCCCCCAGACGTACACCTTCCTGGGAAGCAGAGCTGGGCAGGGGTGGGGGTGGCGGCAGAGGGACCCTGAGCTAACGCTCAAGGCCACGTGTGTGGTGTGGTGTGTGTGTTGTGGGGAGGCAGGTGTGATCCCAGGGAGACACTGGTTGGCCTTGCCCTGGGTGACACATGGACGGCTGGCTGCCAGCCTGGTTGCCATGGGACCAGCACTGCAAAGGCTCTGGAGTGGGCACTCTTGGGACGTGGAGGTCATCACCAGGAGACACAGGGATGGGCGGGTCACCTGTACTGAGGAAAGGCCTGATCCCAAGCTCGTGATCTAATGCAGGAACAAATCTGAATTCCAGGAAAAGCCGTGTACAGATAACAGAAGTGATGGGCCAGGAGGATGGGGGCGGGGCCTAAGGAACAGCGCTGCTCTGTGGCGGCCTGACTTCCAGCGTCTCAGTCGAGGAAAACTGAGCAAGCCCGGTGCCGAGGAAGTGGAAGGCTGGAGCGGAGGGCAGGGACAATAACCGCACACGCCTCGTGGGCGCAGGGAGGAGCTGGGAGGGTCACTCTGAGCGAGCTCTCCAGCAGGAGCGCACAATCAGCGCACTGTCCTTACGGCCTGGGTGGCAAGACACACCCACCTGGTTAAATCCTAACCATCCACAAGCGGGGACAGTGGCAAGTCTCCCTCCTGCCCTGGCCCATCCCACCGCTCTGCTCCCTCCACCGGGAGCAGAGCTGGAGCTGGTGTACGCGCTGTGGCCTGCTGTAGGCACGAGAAGGTGACAAAGTGCCCTCCCTGAGACTCAAGACACATCCAAGAGTGACAGCTGAAGATGGGTTATTTTTTTATTGTTTGTATAGTACAATCTGTGGTAGCAGAAATATATGTACAAAAACAATTCAAATAAGAGTTCAGAGTCAAAAAAGAATTTATCCCAAAGGACATTTAATATATACGGATTTCACAGCTATACTCTAGCCACGCCCCCACATACAGACTGCTGTTTCCCACCGGATGGAGCACATGGGGGGCACCAGGGAACAGTGAGGGCGGGGTGAGCTGGCTGAGCGCCCAGGCCAGGGTTTCCCTCTCCCCAGCTGGCACGCCAGGAGCAGCCAGCCCTGTCACAGGACCCCCAGTTCAGGGTGAGCAGTAGTGGAGGAAAAAGGCAGAGTGGGGAGCAGAGCGGCCTGCTCCCCCCGGGGAGGGCGGATGGGTGGTGTGTGTCTGCATGTCCCCACACCTGTCCAGCAGGCAGCCCTCTGTGGCCATGGCTCACTGCCTGCCTGAAGCCGGGGTGGATAAAGCACGCTCAGCCAGGAGGAGGGCGCGGCAGGGGCTGAGTCCAGTCAGCGGCAGGTTCGTCCGCGTAACCATACGTCCGGCAGGTCCCCGGGCGCTGCCCGCACCCGCCCTACGCAGCCTGCTGTCTCAGCACCAGCCACGTGGACTGAACGGCGAAGGAGCAGCTTCCGGAGGAGCCATGTCACAGTCTGTCCCGTCGCTCACCGCCCTTGGGAGTGAGCAGTCTACACACATTGTCACCTACAGAGAGCCTGGTCACAGTGCTCACCAGCAGAGTGATTGAAATCCTGTAAAAATCAACATCAACCAAAAATGTACCTGCGGTAACACTGCTGACTCTTGCCGTTCACCGTATCTGACCGAAAGCCTCAGGCCCCAAATACGAAATGCCCTGTAGATTAAAAGGAATCTGAGATATTGCACTAGTATACTCTATTTCTGCTTCCCGATCTCATCTGGGTCCTAGCGAAGTCGTAAACGAGATATGCAGGAAATGTTACGCAGTTTTAATACAGTCTTTTGTATCACACACGCCGGTGCGGCGGCGAGGCGGCCAGCCTCTTGCCGCAGGAACAGGAGTGGAAGCACAGAGGGGCCGCTGGCTCGGCCGCCCCCACGCCGTGCAGGGGTGAGGTGCACGCGGTCCTCCCACAGTCACACCCCCAGCTTCCTCTTCTGGTCGAAATAGGCATCAAACCTTGCTTGGGCATAGTCCTAGGAGACAAAAGAAAGAGTGGCCTCACCGAGGGGTCTCGGCCAGGCCACCACCAGCGCAGCGCAGCACGGACAGCGGCATCTTCCGGCAGCCCGGCTACTCTAGAAACGCGCATCGCGCGTGTCAGCTCACCACACCTTCACCTTGAAGGTGCCCAGCTTGGTCACCCTGGACAGCCTGGCCCTGCCAATCCAGATGGGACTTCTGTCTAACTACGTGGCGCTGCCGTGGGTCCCCGTCTTTACCCTGAGTGCTGCGGACACTCACTGGCAGACCTAACAAAAGCTCCTCTTTAAAAGCAAAAGGTCCCAGGGCGCTGGCAAGCACAGAACAAAGTCTGTTTTGTCACAGAGCGTTTGACCGTGACAAATTTGCTTTAAAAATCCAAACTTCTCCTTCTTTTGCCTAATTGCACCTGTGCATTACCGAACCTTCTGCCTGGAAGCAGAGATCGTCCTAACACAGGACTGAGGAGGAGGAGCGAACCAGTCACTTCCTACCCTCCACCACCCAAAGCCAGGTGCGCGCTACAGACTCCGTGCGCCTTCCGCCCAGGACGCCCCGCCCACGCTCGCGAGGCCGCAGAGGCCTTGAAGAAAGGGCAACGACAGCGCCTCTGCGCCAGGACGGTCCTCATTCCTCATGCTCAGCACGAGAAGACGGCCCGGCTCGGCGCAAACCTGCCTGAGACAGGTGGGATGTCTGATTCCGACTCAAAGTCGGGCAGCGAAGGCCAGAGAAAGGGGTGGTCACAGGTGAACCAAACAATCCAGGGCACTGAGGTCAGGTGTGGGGCCTCGAGGGCTCGGATGCCCGGATTCCTGCAGCGGCCACAGAACCAGAACCGCGGACGGACCACACGGCGCTCCCCTGGGGCAGGGGTGGGCCCTGCTGGCCCTGGGGGTGAGCGCCCCGAAGGCAGAGAGCTCCGCCACTGCAGCTGGCTTAAACTCTGTGGCCTTCCTCCCGCGGCTTCCAGGGCTGAGTCCACTGTCCTGGTGCCAGGTTGCCTGGCTCAGGTACTTGCGGGGAGAGGGTGACCCTCTGTCAGGAACGGTCATTTACCGCCAAGCATTCACGTACACTGTGGCATTTTCCCCTGGAAGTAGAAGAGAAAAACTACCCCCCAAACGTACCATGTACCCAAATTCGATGGATGAAATCTTGGCCTGTACGATGGACCAAAGTCCCCAGAAGAGATGGGACGCGAGGGCAAACCTGTAATTACAGAAGCAGGAGACGCATATGAGATGTGTGGCGCCAGCCCGAGGCCCGGTGACGTCACCTCTGCTAGATGGACATCCCAACTCGTTCTCACCCGGTGGATGCACACTCTGCCCGCCATGGCAAACGCAATGGGACGATGTGCCATGGCAACAGAACAGCGGGAGCACCACAGCCGCCCTCTCCCCGCCTGGCCAGTGGCCGGTGGCCTTGCAGGCGCCCGGCACACACAGCACGTTCACGGGACTCCCGTGGAAGCCTTGACGCCATGCTGGCAACGCAGAGGCCACGCCGAGAACCAGCCCTCCGTGTGGGCACAGCACTGGCAGCCCTGCCACACAGCCAGAGGGGGAGGGGCGCGGCAGCTGATCAGCAGCTGCCTGTCCCAGTGGGCAGGTGACACTCGCCCTCCCCCAGCCCCTCCTCTCACATGAGCACAGGAGAGTGACCCAGGTCACCACCTCTGGCTGTATCACGCCTGTCACTGTGAATCCAAGTTCTCCTCAAATGAATACCTTTGGGCTTCATATGAATTCTAATTCTGGGACAAATGCCATGGTATCCTCATCAAACCCACTGTTCTTCTTGCAGTCCTGGACCCACGACAGTCCCTTGGTGCAACCTTTTCTGTCTGAGTCTCCTCCATGCCCCTCTACTTCTATCTGTTCAAGGACCTGAAAGGGACAATCTATGTGCAGGCGGAGCGGAGGGGCAGTCAGGGTGGCAGCATGCTCAGGGGGAGGGGTGTGGACACTTCTGAAGACCACACGGGGGATCTGTAGGTGGATGGACAGAACAAAGTGGGCTCAAGTGATTCGGGTCATTTTTACCAAAAACCCTCCCAGGAGACCGCGAAGGACCGGAGTAACTCGGCTGCTCGACTAGAGATGAGTGCGTGTGCATAAACTGTGGTGTCGGCCTTTGTGGGGTCTGGAAGCTTCCAGCCCTGCTTTGAGAACTGACTCAAACAATACACACAATTTTGGATTGCTTTCTAGGAAAAACATATTAGATGGCGCCCATCACGCCATGAGCATCGGAGACCAGCGTGCACAGGCCTGGGTGGCGACAGCCTCGCACAGTAGGATCTCACGCATGATCCGAGTGCGGCCTCCACCCAGGCGTGCCACCCTCCTGTGAGGACTGTCCCCCTCACCTGCACACACCTGAGAGACCAGAACACATGAACCACACGGGGAAGTGCCTAATGTTCTGTCTGTGATGAAGGACAAGTCCTAGTGAGATACGGTAATAAAGGAGCGCCTAAAACACTCAGCGGCAGGAAGGTATCCCAAATATGTTCTATACAGAGGCGCTAAGCCATCTTTACAAAATGGCAAAGGAAAAGAATTACCTATTGACTTCGACCAACATTTCTTCTTCAATAACGGACTTCTCTTCATTACTGAGGTTTTCATATTCATTTGGGAATGCAGCCAAGTAACTAGAAATAAAATGAAGCTTAGAAAAAAAAAGTAATCGTGTTAGGATCAGTGATGGTTAAAAATAAATGATGTCAATCGCTGTCTCAAAGCATACACATCTAGGTCACATCAGAGGACCCTGGAGAAAGCCTGGCGGTGCCCACCACGCTGCTGTGCCCGGGATGGGGAAGGCGGAAGTTCGCTTTATCCAGCAGTGACCGCTGGGCCCGATGCTGTACTGTTAACAGATGGTACAGGAAACCACCGCTACTTCTGGAGAAAGTATTTCAGTAGAATCATTATTTCCTAATCCACACCCGTGCTTTCCAAAGTCTGGGCGTCAAGCAGGGTAATCCTGCATCTAACTTCCTTCCCCAGGACGGCCGGCGCCGGGACAGCCGACGAGGCCCGAGGGTGTCCCAATGCTCCGTCAGAGTGGGCGCTAGACCGGACAACGTGGGGGCGAGGGGGCGGCTCTAAGATGCTGTGACTATTTACACACTGTGTTCATAAAGTGGCAACGACTAATTAGAAGAGACGGTTTACGTTTACCTAAGGTCATCCCAGGTTCCACACTGAGTCTACATGTGAATTGAGATTTATGTTTCTGCGTGTTAACTCACTTCTCACAACACAATAACTTTTGCAGACAAGGAAACTGAAGCACAGAAACATCCAGCAGGTTACAGCTGGCAGCCACAGCTCTGAGATTCGAATGCAGCAGATGAGTGTTTGAAATCCATGCTTGAACCACCAAGCATGGATTTTAACGCTAGGGGGCGTTAATTTCTGGGGGGTATTAAATGCGGGAACTGAAAAATGAAGACAGAAAACCTGAATTGAATTGATCGACACCCTGACGAAACAGTAATTAACGACCCTCCCTCCAAAAAAGTTCTAGGTCCAGACTGTGTTATGGGCAAGGTTTATCAAACTTTCAAAGAACAGATATCCTTCATCGTATATAAATTTGTTCCAGAAAATAAAAAGGGAGAGTCAACTCGTTTTATAAGACTGGTATAACTTTCACTCCAAAAGTAGATATAATTTTCGTAATGAACATTAAAGGCCTATTTCACATATGTGCATGGATGCACAACTCCTAAAATAAGATAACTGGACCCACTGGAGCATTTCAAAATAACACAACTCATTCAAATAGTTTACTGCAGAAATTTCAGGATGGTTTAACATTTAACAACCTCTCGTTAGTGGACTAAAGGGAGAAATGCATGAGATAACCTTTCTGTATCTACTGAGGTAGCGGGATAAAAATCACACCTCTGTGGATTTTTAAAGCCTCCCAGTAAACAGGGACAGAACTGTCCTCACACTTCCACGCTGTGCAGCACGGCCGATCCGCGGCTCTGCCCCGCCCTGTGGTGAGACGTCCCTTCCCACTGAAATCTCCCCTCACTGGCCTGAGTGTCCTCACCTCGAAAGCTGCCCAGTTTTCACAGAAGTCTAACTTCCCTTTGGCCTGGCAAGAGTTGACACCTGAAGGCTGCTGTCCCCGGCTCAGTGGCCAGCTTTCCCCTCCCCTGCCATGCAGCATGCTGAGGCCCAGAACCTTCCCGAACATGCCGAACAAACTCAAGTTTCTCACAGTCGGCCTTAAAATAAGGCCGGAAGAGAGCAGAGCAGCTCTGGCCCCCGGCAAGTCTGCACCTGAGCACCGCCCCTGCAGTGCGGCCGCCCGCTGACAGCCCTGTGACATGGAGGGAGCTCAGGAAACGTGTGCGGAGCGAGCCGCAGCGGCAACTGACTGCGTCCCTGTCCTCGCCGACCGCTGGGGAGGCTTCTGACCAGGCGACGCTCCAGCAGGACGCGCTGGCGGGGCAGAGGCAGGTGTCGCTGAGGGTGGAAAGGCCGGCCTGGTGCACTCTCCCCCCGCCCTGCTCATCCTCAGCCCGGGGGGCTTTGATGGCGGGCTGAGGTGTGGACCAGAGGGGTTCCCGGGAGGTGACGCCCACACAATCACTGGACTCCCATAACTCAGACAAAAGAGAACTGCCAACGGCACCAACAGCTGCTAAGCCGTGGTACCCAGATCACTTCTCTCTGCTCGCGGGAGACAGAGGGAAGTCATGGATCCTTAGAAGGTGCCCGAAGGAAGGGAGACTGAGCTTTCTAGAGAAAACCAGGAAGGACTGTGGGGAGGCCGAGCTCCTCTCTGGCCGCACACAGGTGTCTTGGGCACAGAGATTTTAAAAAGCTATACCTAAATGTCAAGTTTGCATCTATAGTCAACCGAAAAAAATATTTGAAGCGAAAGGGTTGATTCCTCCTTAATTTCAAATGCATAAAAAGCAGCTATGAAACTGTTATTCTGCGGTGTGTTTGAGACCTTGCTCCTTGGCATATGTCGTCAGGCTCAAATAAACTTATAAAAATTCAAAGAAATGAAATAAAATAAAGCAAAAGGGTTTGCCTAACCATTACACAATTTAAAAGGGGCGTCTTTAAAGATGTCAACAATAAAATAAAATAAAAATAAAGATATAATCAATACCAACTACAGAAAACTGACCAAGGTAGCGAGGATACAAACACCCGCCTCCTACCTGCTGTTTCTTGGTGGGGTACTTCAGGATGTTTGCTCTGAAAAACGGGTACTTTTCATAGTTATAATCATACATCCATTCACAGAAATGATTCCCAATGTCGAATCCCCTGAAAAAGAGATGAAAGATGCAGAGAATGAGGCAAACTATCCGGCACACGGCTCTGTTTGCCTCCTCCTCCGAGTCGTGAGCATCCCTCCCGGCAACAAGCTGGACTTCCCGAGGACCCCGGAGAACGATGATGAGTGTTCGATGATGGGGACACAGTCAACAGTCAATGGGGCCATTACTATAATCACGGCCAACAAAGTTACAAAGCGTCACCTGACCCGCTACTCAAGAGCAATTGTTCCAGAGCATTCTCCTGCAATCAGTATTTTTTAAATTAATTTTTTAATGGTGATATTGGTTAACAAAATCTAATTAGTTTCAGCCGTACACTTTAACAGTAAGGCACATATATATATTTACACTGTGTTTACCTCACATAGATTTCTTTCTGCCACTACATATTTGACCTCCTTCACCTGTCCACCTTCCTCCTCCCTTCTGGTAACCACTAGTCTATTGTCCACGTCCATGAGTCTCTGTCCTGTTCGTTTGCTGCTTTTAGGTTTATATCCCACATATAAGTGATATCATGTGATTTTCCACTTTTTGTCTGGCTTATTTCGCTTAGCATGATTATCTTGAGGTTGCAAACAGTACTTTGATGAAAGGAAATTATCTGAACCAAAAGATAATACCAAATTCTGGATTCTGATCAGTGGCTTCACTGCCTCCACTAACACAGCTGGCTAAGAGGCTGTGCTGGTGCGCACGGCCATCGCGGGCACTGGCACAAAAAGCGATGGCTTCTGGGAAAAGAAACTTCCAACTCAGAACGGCACTGTTAGTGTTTTCTTCTATAACTGTTCGCACACGCGTTACAATACAAAACAGCGCTGAAGTACAGACGGCCTACTCGGAGACATTACCTGTAATTATAACTGCTGTACTCGAAGTCGATGAGCATCAGTTTCTGTTTTTCTGAATTCTCTCTCCCTTCCAGCAATAAGACGTTACCTAAAAGGTGTGGACGACATGACTTTTACTCCAGGCACATTTTATCCTCAAAGGCACAGGCCCCAAACTGTGGAGCGAGAGCCGTTCTGACTCTGTCCGGGAACCTTGACCGTGTGGCGAGTGGGTGCGGCCGCCCGTCTCAGGATGGAGGCCTAGCCCTCGGCGGAAGCCCCAGCAGCCCTCGTGGAAGCCCCTCTGCTCTCAGCAGCCCGAGTAACTGGCCCTGGGCTCCCTGGGGAATGGGGATGGGCTTGGCTCGGTTTTCCGGGGGAGTGCTCCCCCAATTTTTCACATGGGGCATGCAGAAAACGCTGGAGCTCTGACTACCCCAAGCCCTGGCAGCCCTCTGAAGAGTTGGCTGGGGACCCTGCTGTCCTCCCAAAGAGCGTGCCGGGGCGAGCGTGGCTACCACAGGGCTCCGGGCACCACACCTGGCCCCACCGCTTTGCCTCGCCTGGCTTTCTTCCCAAGGAAGAGGCCAGAGGCAGCATTCCCACGACCCTATTTCCTTTAGGGCTGAATTCTGGACCAGAAGTGGACTGGCCGCCACACTGGCTCGTCAGGCCTATGTTCTGAGACCCACACTCTACATAATGTTCTCTGTCCCTACGGGGCTGGCAGGAGGCACCCACGAGCCAGCCTGTGCCCCTCTGCTGGCCAGACCCTCTCCAGGGTTTCTGCGGGAGGCACAGTTCCCAGGTGTTCCGGCATACACCTTCTGTCCCCAGAAGTGGCAGAGGCAGATGCCCACAGGAGTAGGACAAAGCAAATGCACGACTCCCATTTCCTCTGTCCTCGCCACACATCTGCCATCGCTGGCCAGCTGACCGCCCTCGCACCTTCTGTTTGGTGAGGTAACAACACACAAAACTGGCTGATGTGTCTACATCCTGCTGGACTGGACTTGGCTGGCAACGATCAGGTAATACGTAAATAGTACTTTGGCTCAAACTAAGGTCTTACTGATGACTGGTCTTCAACAAGGTCTGTTCTCAGAATTAAGCTATAGAGCCTGGCAAAGGGTCTGAGGGTGGACCTCAGCCAGCTGACACAGAGGACAAGGATAGTGGGAAAAACCACGCCACAGCCAGGCACTGCTGTGGCAGGAAGGGGACCTCTGATTAAACCCTCGAGCCTGAAATCACGTTGGGCAAAGTTCGGTTACAGTAAGGGGTATATGGCATCGGGATTTTATTAGCGCGGAGAACCCAGAAGTCATTCACAGCACGTGACCCGATGCGCAGAGAGAAGGCGCCTTCGGTGCGCTGCAAGGCGCTGCCCGAGGCAGAAGGCAGGAGCCCGGCGCCGACGAGGAGGTGGGCCCGTCCTTTCGCCGCTTTTCCAGATTCATAAAGCCAAAAGCATTTACGGAAAGAAGTTAAACACTGAGCCCACGCGTGACTTAGGAAGTTGAAGGCCTTTATCCCAGCCCTCGGTCTAGTGAACATTCTGATTTTTTCTATGAATGTGTTTTTTACAGAAATGGGACGATATCCTACGTTGTACTTAAAACTTGCTTCCTTCTTTTAATATCCTGGAGACTTTTTCTGTTGCTCTGCATAAAACTCGACCTGTTGAAGAGTTACACAACACTTCATTGTCTGGCTGTGCCGTAATTTGATGCCTCTAATCCTCTCTTCCTGGACACCTGGCAGGTACTACCGCGCACACCACACGGGAGACAATCTTTTAAGCACGCACATGCGCGCCTAACAGACGCAACCTTACCTTCTTGACAGTCATTGTGACAAAATACAACTGGAGATGGAGTGGATTCAAGCAATGATCTGGGAAAGGAAGAGTTTGCTATTATGTACTGAACTTTTAAGAAGTTAAATGCAAACAGTCCCGCTCCCTTGGCAAGCCCAGCCCTGAATGTGAGCTCCAAAGCGACAGACACACAGCCCCTGGGTAATGTCCGTCACGTGAATTCTGGAAACTCTGTCACGCGGTGACAGACCTACAGCAGTTCAAACCGGAAATACACGCGGGCCCCCGAGCATAGCTGGCAGGACCTCCGCCCACGCCTTCCTGTCCTGAAAGCCCTCACTCGTCCCTCCTCAGAGAGCACGACTGACCACTGACCAGAGCAGATTCCTCTCTGTCAGTCTCCTTTGGCTGCCATGTTTCCTTCACAGCACCTGTCTCAACTTCACATCATTTCGCCTGATTACTTGTTTTCTCGTTTCTCTTGATAAAACAGAAGCTCCTTGAAGGACGTCTCGGTCACCGTTCCCTCAGCACCAATCATGAGAGCCAGACCAAGGGACATGCGGCTTTTGAGTAATGAAAGGTGTAAATCCTCCCACTCAGGGGATGAGTGCACCCCGAGGACACCACGGCAGCGTTGCCTCAGAGACCGGTGTCAAGCCTTCTGCTCCATGTCCCCTTAAGTTTGGGTGGACACGTCCCCCTCGCTATTGACACGCCCCGGCCTGGCCCCATGGTTTGTAGTTTTGGTTTTGTTTCAGGAAAAAACCTACGGCTCTAGTCACTGACCATTCTTCTAGAATCTCACCTCCGCCATGAAAACTTTGTGGATGACCAGAGGAGGGATAGCACTCATATAAAACTATAATTCCGGATTACAATATTCATCTGTTTGAACTCATCCTGCGAAACCCATGCAAACGCCAGACAGACCTGAGGCAACGCTTAACAAATGATCGATAACTGTTTCGGTGACTAAAAACTGCTAGACAGAGGCACTCACCGAGTCAGGAACAGAAGCAAATACCCACCTCAGGCTCTCTAGTTCCAAAGGCAGATTGTAACTGAGGAATCTGTGGAGCTGCTTCGCTCTGGCCTCCCCGGTAAATTTAATTCTCAGCACTTGATTTAGGTATCTTGCAAAAAAAGGAGAACAAAACAGCATTGCTCAATTCACGGCGACTTGTCCTTGGGGCTCTAGTTAAACACAGTCATGTGACACCAGGGGAACCCCCATCTCCGTGGCGGGGGAGGGGAGAGGGCACAGGGTCCGGGGCACTCTGGGAAGCAGATTTTCTGCCCATCCACCTGTTCAGTAGCATTTCTGCAAACAAGTCTTCTGTCTTGATTCAGGAATGGATTTTCACGTGGAAGAAAGATTTATTCATGCATGAGGCGAACGCCACCAACTGACGGCCTGCACACCGGCAGACCAAAGGGACACCTCCAACCACGTGGCAAAGCACGCTCACCTCTGGCACCTCTGGGAGCTGCCAATGTAAAACTAAGTTAGAGCCAAGTGATTTGACCACTTACTTTTCCATTGTTCCAAAAAGCCATTTTGGTTCCTTATTGAATGGCATTTTCATACCATGAAATGTGGCCATTTTCTCAGCTATTTCTGCAGAAATATCTGGCAAACTTAATTCTTCAGTGTCTAATCGCCGGCTCTGAAATAAAAGAAGGACGTTAGAAAATGGCATTTACCCAGACAACCCAGGAAGTATAGCTCACGCCATCTTAAGAACTAGAAGCCAGGTTTTGTGGGGCATCTAAGTCTCGGCTACTGCACGAAATTCCCTTAAAAATGAGCGCTGTGCCTGAACGTGGCGACCCAGCAACTGCTCTGGCACTTAGCAGTGAGGAGGACGCCACCTCCAAAGGTCGATTTCGTTTTGAACCTTTTAATTGTGACAAAATACAACTGGAGACGGAGTGGATTCAAGCAAAGTCCTTCGCACACAGGACCTAGGAGTCTGCCTTGTTCCCTCAACCGAACACCAGAAGTATGCACCTTTGCTCAGGCTAAAACTCCAGGTCTGCGGCAGCTTCTTAAGTGCCCAGCGTCTCGCTCCTTCGCTAGTGTCTGTAAAATGCGAACCACGACATGAAAAGTAGAGACGACAGCGCAGGTGAGGGCTCGGGGCCAGCACTGAGCCGGGGAGGCCGCGACAAGTGGCAGGCGCCTCGTGGTCAGGGCTCCCTGACAGCACGGGGCCGAGTCCGCTCCTGCACTCTGGCACCCTCCACAAATGACCACGCCACGGTAAGGACAGGGCACTCAGCTTCGAGCGACAGGACATCGAGATCTCTTAAGGCAGCCTGCTCAGCTTTCACAGAGCTCCGTTAAAAAATGCCAGTAATTTGTTCGGCAACGTGAAAACTTTTCAGCTGACGTGCTCAAAGACGAACAGATCTCAGGATTCCAGGTTCATTTGCCAAGAAGGGAAATGAGACTATCTCCCACATTGCCTTCTGAAAGGTGGGGCTCACCTCACCCCACGCTGCCGGGGGTCCAGAGTCAGCCTGGAAATAGCACACGGCGTCAGCCTTAGCCAAGTGAAATGGCTCTTTCTGCGGGTCAATAACAGTTGACTATTGGCAGTTTCTTATGGTTCGACCCAGTGTTTTAAGAGAATTTTCTTTAAAACATCACTATAAATAATACACACAAGAGCACAGAACTTCAGAACTAGGAGCACATCAATTCCACAGACGCCACAACCTATGAGTCCTGGTCTCAGCTCATAGGTTGATAGTGGGGGCTGTTCGAGTTGTGTTCACTGGTCTCTTATCTTTTCTAAAAACGGTTTTACACCCATGTCTGGATGAAATAACTATTGCTTTGCTCCTATCAGGCTTTATTAAAATGGTATGATACTACATGTAGTCTTCTGCAATTTAGTTTTACCAATCAATATTATGTTGTTAAGATGCATCGCACGCATGTTGCCACTTGTAAACATATGAAGTCTTTTATATTTGGAAAATTCTTTTGAATATTTTATTCTCTCATTTGATTCTCATGCCAGATGGATGTTACTGTCTTTACTGGGAAAATTATAAATAAAAACACAGCCAGGTGCCAGGGAAGACACTAAACGTAAATTCTGGTACAGTGAGGGTAACACCCACTTGCTTAAGCGTACCCTCGAGGGCGGCTGGCACACATGGCGCTGCTGGGGAGGCAGATCACAAGAAGGCTCCTGCCCTGGCTGTGGGATTAGACCAAGGAACCCCAGCTGGATGCAGGTGAGCAGAGCATCCCCTTGAACCAGGTGTCCTTGCGCTCAGTGCCACCTGCACAACTGTACAGGGCTATTCGTGACCCTAGTTCTTAAGGAGCTCATACAGGTTAAGAGGGGGACCCTGCACCGTAACTGCAGACCTGGCTGTGAGTGGGAACGCGGCCAGCAAGGCTCGGCATCGCCACCCATACAAGCTACGACCCACATTCACTGTAAAGGGAGCTGCCGAGGCCCCAGGCCGGCTGTGGGGGAGGGGGTCGGCACACACATGGCAGGCTGGAAAATGTTATAGCGACATTAAAAATGCCTCAGGGCAGCAACAAAAGGACAACAGTCCTGACTCAGAAACAGAGGGTTTGCGGTAGGCCTTGAAATCAGAGAGGAACTTCACGGACATATGGAGACAGGGCTGATGCCAAATAGGGGGACAATGGGAGACAAGGCAAAGGGCAGTGATGGTGGCCCCACAGACCACACCGAAGACCAGAGATGTGGCACAGAGCGGTCAGGGCCAGGGGTTCTGCAGCCAGTTTTACATGGAGGCCCAGAAGGTAGGGGGAACGAGGTGCAGTGAAGCTGTTTCAGGGCAAGTGGCTTTGGCAGACAACAGATGTTAAGTCTCCTGTATTTTTTATTTGGATGAATATACTCTGTAGGAAAGACAGAGGGGTCCGATGTACATTCAACAGGAATGTGCTTTTTCTTTATTTCTGATACGGTTTCATAACACAGGCCGCATTTACTATTTCGGCCCCAGCATCTCGGCCTCTTGAGGGATCAGACAGAGAACCCGTGTTCCGTCTGTGGCACATGGCGCCCGACCGGCCGCGAACATATCTTACCGGGATGAACTCCTCCAGGCGGCCCTGTGGGAAGATGCCATACAGCTTTGGCCCAAGCGATCTCTCCGCGAGAATGGCAAACATAACGCTCTCCAGGACCATGGCCTCGGCCCCCTGAAACAGACGCCAGCAAAGCAGGTGTTACTGATTGCTGACCGCGTGCTGGCTTCGTCCAATCCCACACCAACTCTACGATCAGGCATTATTTTTATTATTATTACTGTCCCCGCTTTAAATGTGAAGACACAGAGATGAACAGATCTTGTAATTTGCAGGATCCATGCAAACATGACACTATATAAATGAGACTGAAAATTCAAGTTTGATGCAGGTCATTGACTCTAAAAAATAGAACAATATCTATCAATACTTGACTGCTTCTATTAGTTTTATAACTTGTATGAATCTTACCCTTGGCACCTCATCAAAGGCCATGACAATACCAGCCATTCTGGTGAAGGCTGACTTGCTGTTCAGTGGACAGTGCTGAGTGAAAGCGAATGGGCCGGAGGGCCTTCTGCCTCCTGAACTCGTCTGTGGGTCTCGTGAGTTTGAGAATTACTGATTTAGATACGGGGTGTCTAGGTTTTCTGGCCTAAAGAGCGCCCTAGCGGGGAACATTCGAGGTTTCAATGTTCTGCTCTCATCCCTCCATCTTCTCCTGTGTCATTTAATGTCTGTCTTCTTGCGAAACCTCTATGATGCTCATTCGTGCTGACTTCTGTCCTAAATACTAATGTGGATCTACGATCATTTTGCTCTCAAAATCCATCTTTCGGTCTCAATTCAAATTCTCAATTCAAAGTCATTCCTTAGTCCTTTCCCCTTAAAAAGCAAATTACAGCTTAAAAGTTCCCATCTGTTAGGGTGAAGGAATAGGAAGGGAGTTCTTCTTAACCAGAGGCGTCCCCAACCTCTTCGAGGGCTTTTCAAATGGCGTTCCTGAGTGGAAGGTGTCTGCAGAGGGGCCGGCAGGTGTGCCCTGGACATGCTCTCAGGGGACTCTAATTCACCCCTTGTAAAGAAACGCGCTGTGGAAATACGAGCTGGAGACACTGTTCAAAAGAATGGAGCTCTTTAAATGACAGTCACATTACGGAGCATGAACTGACAGACGTAGCGGGTCAAATTCACAGGCAATGACTAAAGTTAGTGAACAGAAAACAGAAAGAGAAAGGATGGCTCCTACATCGTGTGGGGGGGACGGATTTGTTGGTAATCCCCCACAATTCTAGCCTAGCCACCGTCTTGTATAATCCCCACTATCATGGTCTAACCATCACCTGGCGAGGCCCAATCTTTATTTACTAATTTGCAGTTTTGTATATATGGCCGCTATGGACGAAACTGTGCCTCCCCTCCCAAGCCCCCGAATTCATCAGTTCAACCCTAACCTCCGATGCGATGGCATTTGGAGGTGAGGACTTGGAGGTGACTGGGTTTGGATGAGGTCATGAGGGTGGAGCCCTAATGGGATCAGTGGCCTTCTAAGAAGAGACAACAGAGAGTGTGTGCTCTCTCCCCCCCAGCGCCACGTGAGGACACAGCGAGAAGACAGTGTCCGCGAGCCAGGGAGACGGCACCCACGAGAAGGTGGCGAGCGGACACCCTGCCCTCCAGCCTCCAGGGCTGCGAGACAGCGCTGTCTGTGGTTTATGCCCCGGGGAGTTTGTCAGAGCAGCCCGAGCAGACTAGACAATGACAACCAGGACACAGCACTGATCAAGTTAATGGATTTTCGAGCAGGATCTGGCATCACGCAGGTTTTATTAACCCTTAGAGAATGACAGCAAATTCCTGACATCTCTGTTTAGCTGGCTAAACGTCTGCCCCACTCATCGGACCTGACAGCAAACCTGTGTGGAGGCAGTGACTCCTGCCTCCAAATGGTCCTCAAGTCCAGCATCAGAGTTGCCCCCTGGGAGAGGAGCCCCAAGACCTGCAGAGCGTTCCTCCCTCTCCACTTGGACACCGGGACGCACTGAAGCCGAGGCGAGCGCCGGCGGCAGCGCGGGGCGCAGGGCGAGGGGCCAAGCTCAGCACCGGACCGGGAGCCTGCCGTCAGTGGCTCCTCGCCATCTGTACAACCCCACCTCAAGGTGCCGACCCATCCCCAGTCGTCACCAAAGCGTGTGATCGGCATTTCTCCTGTCTAGGTATTGGGATTTTGTTGGGATTAAAATCTGTTTTTAATCTACGGCCATGCTACCCTAAACAAGCCCGATCCCGTCTGATCTCGGAAGCTAAGCAGGGTCGGGCCTGGTCAGTACTTGGATGGGAGACCACCTAGGAAGACAAGGTGCTGTAGGCGTAAAAAATAAATAAAATAGTAAGGGATTGTAAGCTGACAAGGTCCTTGCAATCTCTGAGGTCAACCAAGGGTTGCCTTGCCTAGAAAAAAAATTTATTTGTAACTCTCCTCTGTGTAGAGTGAATAAGCTAAAGGACTTCAGCGCTGGCACTTCACGAAACACATACGTGTAGCCAATTTAAATATTCCTTAAAGCCTGAAGTTTCAGGTTTTATGAATAGAGTTAAACCCCATTTCATTATTTCAGTAAGTAATTTTGCACGTCACGTCCACTTAGTACAAAGGCCACTGGGAGTGGACGCGACTGAACACACACGCCATGGGCAGAACCCCGCAGAGCCAGGTTGACCCATCACCAGGAATGGAGACGAGAACAGACATTCTTAAGTCTGTCCATTCTTAAGTGGACAGACTTAAGAATATTCCAATCTCTTTGGCATTACTCTGAACACGTGAACGAGAGGCACCTTTGTACTAATGTGATACTGCAGCTTGATATTTATTCACAATAAGGAGCAAAGGGTGGTGGTGTATGGGGGGAAGATTCTGGAAAAAAAGAAAAAGAAAAAAGCACTAAGTAACGAGCAAGAAAAATGGGTAGGTTAAGAAGGATGGCATGTAATCTTAGAATAATTCAGTGACTAGCGGTCTTTTCGTAACCACGAGGTCTCCAAGCACCTAAGCGGAACGTCGGCACCCCAGGAGAGACAGGTGGCAGCAGGCATGAGTTCCAAGCAGGGGGCTTGGGCGGCCTACAGGAGAAAGGCAAGGACAAGGTTTGGATGAGATGGCCTGAGGAAAAAGGCTGGCACGGGAACAGGGCCCTGGGCCAGGCTGTGGAGAGTTCTAGCACTTTAACTCTAGTTAAGTGTGGAGAGGAGCCTAGAGAGGAGGCGTGGGAGGTGGGACCTTAGGGAAGGAGACGCTTCGGGGTGGGCGGGGTCACGTCGACGCAGCTGCCAAGTCCACAAAACGAGGACTGAGATAGACTGGATCCAGTGTCACGAAGGTCCTAGTGGCCCAACAGTTTCGGCCACCAGGAGCTACAATGGTCTATGCACGAAGGGCTCAGAATGGTCACAACCGGAATGCCAATCACTCTGCACCCAATGCCACCCAGTGTCGCCCCAGGGAGCACCAGTTCCAGATCCTCCAGACCAGGCTCTCCAGGGAGGGGGTGTGCAAAACAGTCCACTAAAATACGAGGAAAACACACCACTACTTTTATTCCTTTTAATAATCTCACCTCCTTTTAATATCTGTGTCTCGATTATTTTACTAACTAGCAGTTAGTAATTAGTAAAACCGGTATATCCGCAAGTGTATAGATACGTGTTTCACATATGCTTTCTGTGTGTACACACACACACACACACACACACACACACTCCTTATACATAAGCGTGCGTGTACCGGGAGAGAATGCTCAAAAGCTTTTTTCTCTCTGCTGCGGGAGTGAGTGCCCCAGATGCCCCACTTCTGAGCCTCAGACACGGGACAAGTCGACACATCAGTGCGCGTGACCCCAAGCTCTTTTGAATTTATGCATTTTGGGGCGTGGGGTTTCCTAACGCGCATCTCGTAGTGGAGGAAGGAGCCTTCCCACCTGGGTACCATGCGCAGGGGACACACTCGTACTTGTCCCAAGGAGAGTGGCCGCCGAAACGACTGCGCAGGGACGGACACGAGGCGGCGGCGAAGCCCTGCTTGCCTCCACGTCAGAACATCACGCACAAACGTTATCCCGAACTGCCGTCTCGGCACCCCGAGAGCTGTTCAGCTTGTCCTAAAGACACCAAGCGTCCACTACCTCCACTCGCCGCGGGACTGGGAACACACGTTGTCCACGCAGCCTTACTCAGGTGGCTCCGATATGCCAAGAGTCCTTCCTCTTGGACGGACCGACCAGGCCCCTCCAGGCACTGCCCAACGACAGTGGCCGAGGCCGGCAGCCAGGTTTACACCTCGCACAGATGCGGAATGGGCTTCGTTACTTACTTGAAATTCATTTTCTTTCTGAGCTTGTTCGGATCCCTCTTTATTACAGGACCTCTATGAATGAGAAAAAGCAAACACTTCCGGTGAGATGGGGAACGGCAAGCAGACACTCACTTCGCAACCACCAGAACAGCCGGGGGTAACGAAACATCACAGATCTTTAATGAGTGTTTCTCGGCCCACTGATGCCATCAGTAGCAGTCTAAAATGCACCACCAGTGTCCAGCACTAGTGCCAACACCCGAGGAATCTCTTCATTTCTTTACAAGAAAAGGGATGTGCTGTTGAGACCAAATAGCTGTGACACGACCTCTCCGGTATACCAGTTCGCAATTTCATTGTTTGAGGAAAGTCAGTAGAGGGCGCTCTTCCAAACAGGTCTTCTAAAGACAAACGGTCAAGCTGAGTCTCACCCGTTCAGCTAGGTGTTTCGTTCAAAGTCAACGCAAACCCGAGGAAGGCTTTCTTCCGGCACGAGCATGGAGGGTACACATGGACACGTGCCGGTGTCAAGCGTGGTCAGCACAGAACTGGGACGGAACTGTGCAGGCAGGCAGCGTGGCACAGTATCTGCATAGATGAGCCCGCCGACCAGCCACTTTCACAGACTAACCCTGCTCGTTAGGCCTGTCTCTAGCTCAATTTGAATTCTTCTTCCACCAAAAAGAAGGCGATGCAAATTTAATCAAGTCCCTAAACTTATTTCGCATATTAACATAGGAAGGGATACTTCTGAATCACTTTCCTCAATGAAATTGCAAAGTACTGGTAACCAGGATTCTAGCAATAGCAATGGCTAAATCATTAACTACCATCTGCAACTCTGGCTCCATCCTTCATGGCACAGATCACAGTTTTTAAAAGCAACCCCCACCCCATGTGCTTCAGAAACCTTCACACTATCTTTAATCAAGGGATGGGGGGAAAGCGAGTCAGAAACTTAAGTATTATGTCAAAATGTTGCACGCAAATATTGCCTTTAAAAATATGTTGTTATAGTTAAAGTCTGCTTAAGCCAGACACAGAAGGAAGCCCGTAAAGGAAGCTCTTTAAAAAAATTTTAAGGTAAAAGATTCTTGAACATCCCGTGAAAAACATACCTTTCCATTCCACAGCTTTATCAAAAATACCTGTACCAGGGGTGGAAAGTGTGGACAGGAAAAAAAAAATGCCACGTTAAGCAACACCAGCTACTCTAGCACCATGCAAAACCCTAGTGATTTAAAGCAACCACTTTCATCCATCAGACACATTCCGCAGATGTTTTAATGCTTTTATATAAATAGTACATGTTCTAGCTTACTCGATATAAAAGCAAACAAAATAAATACCCATGTGCATGAAGCTATTGGCAAAAAGACTTGCCCTTATACGTACTCAATATCTTTTACAGTTAAGTACACTTTGTACAAAGTACAGAACGTACAAATGGGGTATATGTAATATTTTCATTTGCGTAATCTGCATCTCTCTGATGAAAAGGTGTTACAGGTTAAATCCCGTTACAATGAGAACTACAAGAATAAAAATAAAACAAGAATACTTTCAGACCTTTGCTGATGGCTGCGATAAATCCGAGGTGGGGGTGAGTGGGTTTCATGAAAGCCTCCCTCCTCCCTTAACTCTAAAAGACTCTCCTGACCACTGTTTACCTTGGAGTCAGACTATCTCCTCTCTCCAGTGGCCGGCAAGTCACTAATGAATTAGGGACGTACCAACCTTCCATTTATTAGTCGCCCCCCAAAGCACCAAGCAAATCCTGGTGCTTACTATACTTTTCGGGTGGCATGGATAACTGCACACGCCCGTGCCGTGAAGGTCAAGGTGGCCAGCTAAAGGTGCACCCTAGGGTGACAGCTGACCAGCTATGGCAAACTTGCACGCATGATCCCGGCAGTGGTATAACTGGCTACAGTGTTAACCAGAATGCTGAAAGGGGCTAAAGTGCCCCCAAAACATTAAATCCTTGTGCTTTTTTTCTCAAAGGAAAGTTAAGCACAAAAAAAGTTCTATAATCTGATACATTATATATCGATACTTTGTAGAGCAAGCTTTACGACAAATAAGAAATCTGGATAACCTATTGAAACTTGTTGTAACGGGATTTGACCTGTAGGAAATTCTAGATGACTATGGTTATGCCTATGCTGTTATTACTCAAACTGTATCTTCTTAGGAAGATACAGTTAAACGGGTTATTGAGCCAACAGAAGTCCCTTTTCCTCGTCTAATGGTGCTCTCAAAGGCAAGTCGCTCCGTCCAACGTTAGAACTGGTTTAGTTCCCAAGGCCATTCCTTTTTAACACATTAGCAGCATTAAGAGAAAATAAATTGTCACTCATTTCCCCATCCTGTCGTGTCACCCCCAAATGAATGCATTAATTATACCATAAGAGCACCATCACAAAGGCAAGTGGACTTCTGCCACAGACGACCCCCCGTTCTGTTTCCTCAGTACAGAATGTTCGGGTTCCCTCAATCCTGCAAATAAGAAGAGTAAGACCAGGAAGTTTCAAACCAAGAAGATATTCATGAAAAGGTGAGAGAAGAGGCCACCTCCCGAGGTGAGCCAAGAAGAGACTCACAACGTCAAAAAAAGAGGTCAGAGAACGTTTTTGTCCAGAAAGAAAGTAAAATATATCTCGGAATATGTGAGATTTTACTTCAGACTTACAAATTTATCTGAAGCAGATTTTAAAATATATTGTACAAATATTTAACATGACTGAATTTTTGGCCAACTCGCACGTTAATAAAAATCGGTTTTCATAAGTTATAAAACTAAAAAAAATTTTACGTTTATTAGACCTTTGAACACTGGTTATTTAATGTTAAATAATTATTAGGATTTTTTTAATGTGAACGTTATCATGGTCATTTTTTAAAAAAACCATCTTATATAGATTCAGATCGAAATATTCATGGAAGAAATGATACGTCTGGAATTTGCTTCGGAATAACCCCAGAGAATGAATGGGGGTGAAGACGAAAGGAGACTGATCAGGGTCAAAGATGGACGTGGGGCACTTGGGGTTCATTAACGCTGGGGTCCACTTCGGTATGTATCTGAAATTCCTAATACTAAAGTGTTTAAAATAAACACTGAAATTTAAAGACCTAAGAAGATCAGAATGCATCAAATGTGCTTAAGAAGACACCCAACTCCAATGAATATACTAAAAGCCACTGAACTGTACCCTTTGAATGAGTGAATTCGGCATGGTAGACAGATGTACGAAAGAAAACACAAAAAGACGATACCCAACTATAATTAAAAATGGACCGCCACTGGCTCCCTTCCATCTTCCTCATTCTTCGAACTATTTTGGGCTTGGTTTTCAAGAGACTCTACAAGTATTCATTAGACCGTGATGTAGGAAATAAAACGAACTAAAGTGGTAGCAATAATAAATGGGCATGTACGGGTTTATATTTTGTTTTAAGGTTATAGATTTTAAAAGCTGAAACGGATTCTGATTGGCCAAGAACTTTTAAATTTAAAACCTAAATTCTTAAAAGCCTAAATTCTATTATCTAGGAAATAAGATGAGAAAATAGAGGATTCCCGTTTTTTACTTTACACACTTTCGTACATTAAAACGTGTTTAAAAGTATGTTACTTTTATAGTAACTGTATTTAATGCAAGGGTTCAAATGTTGCTCTTCTGACAAAATCGCACTTAAAGGCTTTTGTACTTTAAAGACCGTGAAAAAAGTAAATGTTCGTATTACAGGACAATAGTTTTCGAAATGTTCTATTTTGTGATTTGAAAAGATGATGAAAATCCACGGGTAGTAAGAAAACTTTATGGGTAAAGATGAGGAAATATCACTTGATTGAATCGTTGTATCTAATTTCAGAATACAAAGACGGTCTGCTTTAAGTTCCCTGACGTTCCACAATCTAACCGATTTCTTTCTTTCAGTGTGTTGAAGCCACTAGACAGACTAAGCTCTCATCATTGGCCAAAAGTTTTCTCTAACGATGAGGGACCCAGTCTTATGACCAAACTACTCTGATACAGCCACAGCATTTGTGAGATGAGCGAGAGCAGCACCTTGGTTTTCCCTAGAGTCTGTGTTGTATGCGTGGCTGTGCGTATGTCAATAAATTAGTCCAAGTGGCATACAGCGATGCAAATGTCATTGTAATACCCGCAAATTTATCTTCAAAGCATCTTTAAAGATTCAATACTATGTGAGCTGCTCATGGGACAGGTTGGGAAAAGTGATGAATCAGTTACAATGAATGACATGTCATCATGCTATTTAAGAAATCAAATCATTATCAACTACAGTTAATAAGTAGCCATTATGTTAAGTACAATGGTGGCTACAGAAATAAAATGATACAAATCAGAGTGTTTTATAGAAACATGGAAGACAGTCTCCTTCCCACCAGCTTCTTCCCCATCAAAAAGAGAACTAAATGAATTGTCTCTATTAAAGGTTACAGCTATATCAGAGAGGAGTTGGTTGTGGCTTTTTAAAAATGCTTTTGACGCCAGAAATGAGTGATTAAGAAAGAATAATCCAAATATTAGCTAGACAACTTCTAGGTGACCTAAGATGGTCCAAGAAAATCCCTCTCTCCAGTTATCTGGGATTATCCTCATGAGTTGAGTCCTGCGCCACTCACTTCCAGACTTGGCATTTGCCTGAGAATAAATAACAAGCGTGTCCCACTCCACTGAACGCTCAGTACCTGAGACACTCATTTGGTCCTGGAGTGACAAGGGCTTCTTTACTGTGCAGCCCGCGGCTGTGAGGACTTCTAAGATCCATCTCCGTTTCTGACCACACTCAACTCTCTAGGAGAGAAAAAATTCTCAGCACGGGGATGGCGCTGCGGGCAGCCCTGTCAATGACGGGACTACGCCCCATCTCTCCCGGGAGCGGGGCAGGGAAAGCGTGGGAATCCTGGCTCCACAGAACGACAGCGGTCACGTGGCTCTTTCGATTGCAATTCTGCAGTACGTTTTCTTCTCTACGTCATCACGGACCCTAACCTTCTTTCTTCCAGGTTTCTTTAAAAACAGTCTGTAATTATTCTTTTGTGCTTATAGCATTTTCTGAAATTATTTTACAGAACGCAATGCAATGATTTAAAACATAGTTTATGTGATTATTTGATGCTTCTGAACTCTGCAAACTGGGTGCCTCGATGCACATCAGCAGGAGACCAGCACCCCCACTGACCGGCCGGCAGGAGGGCGTTGGGGTGGAAGCCCTGGGAAGCAAGGCTCCTCCTAGAACCATCTGGAAGTTTAGGTCTGATGGGGGGGGGGGCGAGGCTCCTGAGGCATGAACACCCCAAGGGCTGAATTTGAAGTGACACAGCCCCAGGAAGAGTGCCGTGGCTTCTCCAGCCTGCGATGCATCCGCACGGGATCGGTGCCGGCGAACCTCATGCAGGTGTCAGGGACCCGGCAAAGACATGAGAAAGGGTACTAACCGAGAAGGAAGGAAGGAAGGAATTTTGTTTCCAGCTCTGACCAAAATATCAATAGAGAGAGAGTTTCCTTAATGCTGAAAGCGGTTTGAAGGAAGAAAAAGGTTAATACTTCAAAGAGATTCTCAAGTTGAGGCCCATACATTTCCCAAATTAATAAATGTTTGTCATTTTCTACTGAGGAAACAGAAGAAGGGATCTGATTTGCCTTGACCAAAAAAAAAACAAAAAAAAAACCCAAAACGTAAAGTGCTATATTAAATACATAACATTCTGACATCTTAATCGCGCCGCACCTCTCTGAGCACGGCATGAACTGTAGCTGGTGCTACTTAACAGAAGCATGACAACTGTCTTTTTAAAAAACATTTCTTGAAACCAAGAACTAAAAGAAAGAAATTAAAGCTGTAGAGAATGCTCCGACTTCAGAGGACTCATACTATACCGTGAATCGTGTCTGTCACCTGGAAACCAGAGTGCTCCAGGCACGATCGCATGGACAAGCCTGCAGCAGAGAACACATGCACATACAGCTAAAGTGGTACATTACCCCCAAACGCCCTTCACGCCACCCAACACAGACATTCCTTCCCAAGAGGGGTGGGCTGCGGTCACAGCATCGTTCCAAGTGCGAGAAATCTGTATTGGCTTCATGCTATGAATCTCAAACATTTAAGACCAGCGAGACAAAGACACTATGAACATGTCAAAATCAGACAACGGCAATCTCTGGTTTATTTAGTTATCAAAAGAAGGCACCGAAGCAGGTATGGAAGGCAGGACTGCGGACAGTAATTCGGCCATCGTCTTCGGTGAGTACTAACTGAAGAAACGCTAGGTGAGGCCAAATGTCACACGCAATTCTAGAAAAACGTTTCACTTCTGAGAGGGAGGTTTTGACTAAGAAATAGATATAACTACACCATATTCTAAGTACAAGGGAGATTTTTCAAAGCAGGGTCAACAAAACGACTTAAACTCGTGATGACCCTAATACAATGAGGAAAAAAGATGGACTCCGCAGGACTCAGTCACCAGGGACATGCGCTCTCAGCCTCTTGGGACGAGGCAGGGCTCTCTGTGGAGGGACATCGGTCGCACCGTCTGCACAGTGTGACCTTAGCTCCAGAGAAAAATGCTTGTAAGCAGATAATTTTTCAGTAGCCAATAGTTCAATATTAACTATCTGTGGGCGGTTCCACATTTTATTATAGTTTAATTTTTAATTAAACGGGGGTTAAGAGAAAAGAGGGAAGACAAAATTTTGTTACCTGCATTAAAAAAAATACCATGTCCCAAATTTTAATCTTTTAAATCACTAACACATATCTGCGTTGTGCCTTGGTGCCTTTCATTTTATTATGGTTAGTACTCAAACAAGCACTAATATTAGCCTTCTATTACTCAGAAAACAAAACAAAAACATTTTCCCAGACAACACTGGAGAGATCTTTGATGTGTATTATAAACATCCATGCCTGTGAGACCGTTCAAAACGGTGAGGCCAAATCTCTCCATTCATGCACAGAAGGGACTGGCTCGACACAGAGTCACTGTTCCGACAGAGGAAGGGACAAAGCAATCCTCTGAGACTCCGCCAACTGGCACAGGTTACATTGAATGAACAATACGTACTGACATTTGTGTCTTCCACAATTCATGATAAATAAGCAAACTGGTTATTTGTAATCAGCCAAACTTGCTTCTGTGAAAAGGCTGCTACTGGACGTTGCAGAGCTCATGTTCCTTCCCAGTATCAGAAAGGAAAAAAATCAAGTTACATTTACAGCTAATTTTATCGTGTCAAGCTCTCTTCTAGCAATGACATCTCAACACAATGGCAAAAGCTAAAAGACTGCCCCTTCTCACAACTCCTACCGAACCATCCTACTTCGGTTAGGGGCGGGTTTATAGACTAATTTGGTTTTCATCATCTACTCAGCAAATGAAAATAACCTAATAGTCATTAAAATGAAAGCTATTCTCTGAAATGGACACTGTTTGGAGATCAGACCGGTATTTTTAGTTTAATAATTTCCTACGAATAATATTATATAGCTGTTTTTCAAAGCTGTATGTCGTGTCTTGTTTACATTCTCGAAAGAACCCATTCTTCCCTCGTCCCACAGAGGACTTTTCATTAGCCCCCTAAAATTAGCACAAATCCTAAACGAGACCTCCAGGATACAGTTAGGAAGTCTGCTTTTGGTTCCTCTTATATAGAAATAAGGGCTGTTTGTGGGACAGAAACTGTGAGCCTTAGTCCAGCTGGGAGGTTCGACCTTGGCTTTCTGCTACTAACCCTTCGTGAACTGCACCGAAGAGAAGTCATTCATTGCCACTATGGAAATAAAGGAAGTCAGACACCTCGCAACACCAAGATGAAGGAAATAAGAACGCTGAGAAACAGCTAATTATTTTAAGTCGAGTCACTTGTAAATGACTGTAAATGTAAATCGAAGAAATATTTCTACTTAGTATTTAAATTTCACAGAGGTAAAAATTCAAAAGCTTATAACAAGTAGGAGAAAAAGAAGGGATATACTAAATGGAACTGGTTTATCATATAATTAAGCAAAAGAGCAAAATATTGTGAGAAGATAAATAAGTCTACTATGTGAGTCATCAATTAACATTTTCAAGGAAGCTTAATTTTAAGCCATCTTAAAGATGCTACAACTGCATATATGTGCCCAATTTAAGGGATACAGTTATTCGTGTAAGTGCACATACATGCATAGAGACGTCTGTGTGCTTTCATCTAAGGTTAAGTAAAAAAAAAAAAAACAAAAAAAACCCACCATAACATGTCAGTTGTACTACATTTAATTCTGCCTTTAATTCATCCATTTACGAAAGTACCGTGATTTATTATTTGGGCTCCGTATCTGCTCAGCCACATCTCCTAATGCGAATCCTGACAAGTTGCTACTATCGATCCTGGAAACATTTTTGTTGTTATGGGAACCAAAGCGTCACTGTGGACTATAAATATCCCTCCTTCCACTATAGGCCAGAATTGGGGTCGATAAGCTAGCAATATGACTGCACTCACGCCCTACAAAAAAATAAATGTCGGAAAAATTTTAACTGAGTTGAAAATATTTGAAAAAGAATGTATAGTAAACCCCTGGCACGCGCTGTGAAAACTCGACTTCTCCAGCACGTGGCAGCCGCTGCCCGGCTCGCGTCTCGCTGGCCCTAGTCTCTGCCTCTCCGTTCCTTCTCTCCGATCGCGGTCGTTTATTTTAGAGTCCCTGAATTTTTCTCTCTTCATGTCCTCAAAAGTATTCACAATGACCAACAGTCTATAATGGTCATTAATGTCTAAAATTCAAACTGGCAACAAGTGCCGTTGATAAACCCTGGGGACCAAAAATATTTAAATTTGAGGCTGTAGGTGTCACAGTTTTACTAAGTTAGAACTTAAGTTAAAAAAAAAAAAAAAAAAGAGTGTGAACTAAGGACTCAACCAAGTAATTATACTGGAAATAGAGATTCCCACCTATGAAGCAAAGGACCAGTTTTTTCCCAACAAAATTGAGTTTATCGTCTAGTAAGTCAACTGTGAGACTGTTGACATTTGCTTATGACCCGTCCTGTAAGCTACTTCCCTCCCCACCCAACACGCCTTCAGGCTCGGTTTCCTGCTGTCAGCAGGGGATGTCCTTTCAGGAATGGAAACTGAACTCGCTCAGTAAAAATATAATCAGGAAGCTAAATGCAGAGGGTCCCCCTACGAATTAGATTATATGTAAAACAGACTCTGTTCGATTACTCTGATAAGAGTTAATTCCATTTTAAGTGGCTTCGATTATTCTGCTATTTATTTTTCTAAGTTACCCAACAGTTTTTTTTTCTCCCCTTAAAAACAAACAGGGACACAGAATTCTGTTAAAATAAATTCTATCTGCAGACATTTCTACTGCGCCTAAGTACTTTAAGGCAGTAATCCTAGACTGCTAAAAATTTCTAAAAGGACAAAACATTAACTACTGAGAGCGAATCTTTATTAGGGAGAAGGTAACTGCTAAGTCACAGGATGTGTTGTCACTGGCTCTTACTAAGTTACTGATCCGGGAACGCAGCACAGTCTAGAGCTGGGCTGTCCAATGCAGTTGCTACTAGCTACATGTGACTACTTCACTTAAATTAATTAAAAGTAAGTAAAATTTAAAATTTAATTCCTTGGCTACACTTGCTACAGCTTAGGCCCTCAATAGCCACACGTGGCTAGTGACCGGCATCCTGGACAGCAGAGATCTGGAGCATTTCTGTCACCTCTGTGACCGTACTGCTGCTCTAAACTGGCACAGGGCCTGCAGCCTAGTGTGGTCTAGCACCCGAAGGAGCGCACAGTGCGCGTTTCAAACGCTTCTAAGTTATAAATAGAAATTGAAAGCCTCATAAACCAGCTTTAAACAACAGTCTTCTATCACATGCAATTCCCACAGCTGGTTATTAAAGTATTTTAAAAGGATTACTTAAATGAAAGCACACAAAACAAATGAGCAGAAATGGGACTTGTTGTAGAATGTAAAAGTCCTCAAAGAATAAATGGCTAAAGACAGATTTCGTTAAAAGTGCCAAAAGGACATTAATTGGGTATTTCGAAAACTGTGCTTTGAAACTGCAACTTGATTAAATAAAGAAACCACACTGCATAGTAAACACAAGAACTTTTAAGCTTGTGTACTATCAGTAAGGGTCAAGATCAGCTGTATGTCAGCTGTTATGTACCTAGTTGCAGATGGCCTCAGAATTTCTCAGCAAAGGCACACGACTTCAACATGCTGACTGTTCCCAGCTCTCTCAGATCCTAGCCACTTTCACAGCCTGACAGGGTCAAGGGAAAGTTATCCAGTGAAAAAGTTCAGTCACAGTATGACAACTTTTTAAATGAATTAACATCTACAGTGCTGATTTTAACTTTTAATATTTCTAAACATAATCGAATGATCATAAACATGGACATGCGCTTTTTAGATTGAGCTGAGACTAGTGTTTAAAAAAATTAAATCAGAAAACTATTCTCCATTTCATGAAGATAAAAATGGGCCCTTCTAAAGTTTTAAGTAAATACCAAAATTCTACCATAGGAATATACCACCAAACATTTATATGTGTGGTCAGTAAAATGGTAAATTTATGTTATAAATAAAAAAAATCCAGACAGTTGTGATACCCTATAATTGGTTAAGACAATCCAACGAATAATGTACTTGAATCGAAAATTAGATTCAATTAATTACTGAATATGAAAATTTAGAAAGATGACAAAATCAAAGGGAAGAAATTGAATTAATTCAGTTTCTCTGAAATCATACTTTGTCCACTGGGCCTATCCTGTAAAACCTTTTTGATTACGCTATAAAAACAATACCTTTTCCACATTAGAATTTTACAACCTAAGTCTGGGCTGAAAATCTCAATATTATGGAAAACTGCAGC